AGCTGTGGTTACTCTGGCTAGGCGTTGGCAAATTCCTGCATGGAACAGGATCACTGGGCTGACATGGACCTAACAGACACCCAACTTCAGCCATAGTTTTCTTTTAGTTTAACATTTTTGGACAGGATGCAGAAAAGTTAGAATCTAATTCCTACTTCACCAAAAAAATACAAAATGTATTCCTGTGGCACATTGGAGATAATTCCTTTCCTGTTGTGTCCAACGCTCATCCAGGAAACAAGGCGAAATCTCCTAAATGGCAACACAAGTTTCAAGTGACTTCAATTTCAGACAGTTTTCTAAATTTTCATTGGCAGGTCCTTGTGTCTCATCTTGGAGGAAAAATGTTACTTTCATTAAAAATATACAGTAGAGAAATTACAACACAAAGCATTTTGTTAAAACGCAAATGGCAACAGGATAGAAACATGGAACTCCAACCAGAACTGGGAGGTTTCCAACAAGAGTTGCAGTCAAGAGTTATATGAGGTTTGCACAAAGTTTATCTTACCGCCATGATTAAAGGAGAACTATGAGGTGAGTGAAAACCACTCACTCATAGTTTGTACCGACGTGTGATAATGAAACTGTCACGTCGGCTCAATAGATCGGGAACGTCGGCTCAATAGATCGGGAACGTCGGCTCAATAGATCGGGAAGTGAACGAACACATACTGTCGCTCGCTCACTTCCCGGTCATCTCTCTGCAGAGAATGGTGACAGTCAGTCACCACCCCCTGCAGGGATTCCCCCCTCCTCCAGCGCTGACTGGAGGAATGAACGGGAAGGGGGCAGGTAAAGCTGGCTGTGGATAGGCAGAGCCAGCTGTCAATCATGCAGCTGGGTGGATCTCGGACAGTAATGTCAGGATCAGTCCAGGCTGCGGCGGTCTCAGTATACCATGAACTGCAGCTTGCAATGTACTGAGCTTTGGGTCACGGGAGGTTAGTAAATGTCCTCCAGTGACCCTTAAGAGAACTATGGGGAAAAACACTTACCCCATAGTTCTTTTTTAAACCTAACCGATGAAACGCGTAAAAATTGACTCTTCTTGTATTGGGGAGCACGTCTGTAGTATGCACATTTGGATTACAACTTAATAAACATTGGATTCATTATTTGAATATCCGGCGGTGTGCGGCTGTTCTTTTAAGCTGTCCATACACCTATAGATTATATCTGCAGACTTTCTATGGTCAAATGGAAAAAGTGAAACAGATTCCTCCATCTACGCTAAACTGTGTGGATGGAGAAATCTCCCACTGGGCCAAGCTTCAGTATCTTGCTAGTCGGCCCCGCTGGCTCTCAAAATACCTGAACAATGCCGGCATCCAATCAGATTGTTCAGGCGTTTTGACAGCCAGCGGGGCCGACTAGCAAGATACTGAAGCTTGGCCCAGTGGGAGATTCCTCCATACACACAGTGTAGAGTAGCTGGAGGAATCTGTTGCACTTTTTCCATCTGACCATAGAAAATCTGCAGATAATCTATAGGTGTAGGGCCAGTTCAGTGAGTCATTGGGGTCGATTTACTAACCTTATAAAACACACCACAAACATGTATACACCTCTGTAGTGTGTTCCCTCCCAGCATGATCTATGGGTGGAATCTAAAACACCTTTGTAGTGTGTACACACCCAGCAGGTGTGTTGTGCAAAGCCTTGCATGAATTGCAAGGTGATGTTGTGTAAATTAGCTCTATGTTGTGTTGCTTGCGTTGATGAATGCAGGAATGTAAATGCATGAGCTAACCATTTTTGTCTAAACTGTGAAGCAGCATTATATATGCATCATGTGCATGATTTTTCCATATATGGCATTAGTGGAAATATGCTTTTAGAGACTTTTTGGTTGATAAATACGTTATGCTGTGTAAAAATCACACGCACCTAGTGCGTGCGTGTGCTTAGGTTAGTAAATCACCCCCATTGTGTCACATTACTTTCTCATGGCCATTGTAAAAGAAAATCTGTACGGACTTGATTACTGCCAATTTCTATAGATTTTAGGCGAGTGGAAGCAATGAATCCTCGTTGTCGGCATTCTAGTACACAATCTCTAGGAAGGACATCTATTCCATGAAAAGTGCACATTTCGGAAAAATCAATTTGTTGAACTTTATTAAAAAATATAAAAATAATATTTAAACTTTTACACAAATATAAAAATCAGAATTTAAATAAAATATCAGATTGACAAGATAAAAAAAAATCAGACACACCACATAACATATTTCTCACACACAAGCAAAAGAGACACGCACCGTAACAAGTGCAAAATAAAACCTTGGCTTTGTGGAACATCCCGACATTATGAATTTGTAACTGGAACTCCGTAAGGTAGACAATCTTATTGCTGATCTTCAACTCGCTGCCATCCCTGAATACATGTAAACACATTTTCCAATGTGTGGCTCATTGCAGACAGCAAATACCAGCTAGTTAGCATGCAACACATTGTAACAAAAATATACTTTCATAATGTCATTAAGTAGATTTGCTGTGGTATATACTGTATGTGATATAACAAGTCCCACAGTTATTGGACAATAAAAAAAATTGTACAAAAAGAATAATGCATGTTTTACCCAAAAGTCAAGGCCACATATTAACCATTTAAAAATACAGGTTTCACCTCCAGACTGTTACCTAGTGGTTTGTGCAAGCCTTGGGGAACCTTGCAATGTGAAGGACTGAAGAATAACTTGAAACTAACGTCTGCCTGTAAAGAGAAGAACACTTACCTGTTCCATCACTAGCATGCGTTGTCTCTTGAAGAAGAGGTATAGTGGCTGACAAATCTTCAACAACTCCAACACGTCTGGGTGTGTGGGATGGCTGGACCCTTTCTGAGAGATGTGGTTTGATCTGCCACCCCCTACGTCACTACTGATGTAGGAGTCAGCAGATCGAACCACATTGCACAAAGGGGGAACTAGGCATCCAACACAGCAGATCGAACCACATTGCACAAAGGGGGAACTAGGCATCCAACACACCTAGAACAGCAGGATGATGAAGAGCTCCGAGGTGCTGTAGCTCTTGAAGTGAAGATCAGCAGCACAGGTAGGTGGCAGGACAGGTAAGTATTAATTATTTTCTTTACAGGGAGATCTTCATTTAAGTTTTATTTAAGCGAGACTCACTTTAAAGGAAACCTATCATGATTAAAATACGCAAGCTGCAATTGCCAGCTTCCTCCTATGAAAACGCTAACTTTGAGCTACTGACTCCTGACAAGTATTGTGATTATTTCGGCTTTTTACCCGACTTTCATTTCTACTGTCCAGACACATTTAAACAGCTAGCACTTTCAGAAGGAAGCCAGCAATCATGCTTCTCTCATAAGTGTATTTTAATGGGGCAGTCCAGTCAAAAGGGATATTTACACTTAGAGAGTCATGGGTCGAATCCTTCCCGTTGGTTTCAATCTCTATGTGACCTCAATGATAAGATCATTGCCTTGCCAGATTCTCACCTTGGATATTCTCTCTACCAGCTAAAGCAGGAATGTTTTACTTTAAAACTTCTCCTTCTCTTGCTTTCTTCCCAACATAAAATAAGTGTAAGAGTTCATTTGCATGGGCGATAAGCAATTTCGGCCCCATGCTCAGGTTGTGTTCATCCAGCCGCACGCAGCAGAGGCGAAGGCAGATTTGTACCTGAACAGTAGCGGCTAATGCAAGCAGCTACATGCAATTAGGGTCTCTGACCGGCCCATGGATGCAGATAGTTTGTGTCCGGGACCTGCGGTTTTATCTGCAGCTAATCACATAGTACGTATGCAGTCATAGCACAGATTGTTACTGCATCCAAAAAGGGGATTTAACTGCAGCTGAACACAGCAGCCTAATTGTCCATATGTATGAGACTTAAAAGTTGAGCAGGGAAAATTCAACATCCCTTGTACATGGTGTGAAAGCCTGGAAACTGGAGAGAAGATATATCACTGCTGAAGTCTGTAAGAGACTGTTAGGTGCTTTACCATTCCAGGATCTATCAAAAACTGAGATTGTCAGTTCTGATTGGACGTGACAGACTTGAGACTGTAAGGTAGAGAAGTGAATTCATCTTCATAAATTGTTTTAGTTATTGTGATTCAGCATGTCGAAGCTGATGTTTATATCTGTTAGCATGAAAGTGTTCCAGGGACAGCTGTGCCTATGAAATGTAGCTATGCCTATGGAACGTTCCCCTAAAATGTTTTATTCTGAGTGGACAAAAGTGAAGAAAAAGCAGCATTCCGTCGCAGACACTAGCGGCCCATAAGGCACACAGCTGCCCGTCGCAGACACTAGCGGCCCATAAGGCACACAGCTGCCAGTCGTAGACACTAGCGGCCTTTAAGGCACACAGCTGCCAGTCGTAGACACTAGCGGCCCTTAAAGCACACAGCTGCCCGTCGCAGACAGTAGCGGTCCATAAGGCACACAGCTGCCCGTCGCAGACACTAGCGGTCCATAAGGCACACAGCTGCCTGTCGCAGACAGTAGAGGCTCTTAAGGCACACAGCTGCCTGTCGCAGACAGTAGCGGCCCTTAAGGCACACAGCTGCCTGTCGCAGACAGTAGCGGTCCATAAGGCACACAGCTGCCTGTCGCAGACAGTAGCGGTCCATAAGGCACACAGCTGCCTGTCGCAGACAGTAGCGGTCCATAACGCACACAGCTGCATTCCACAGACCCAGCTGTACCTACATTTGAGAAAAATATTACTCTTCAGGTAGAACTTTGGAAAAAATAAATACTATTTCAATGTTTAATTTCTTCCCCCTCAAAGTACCAAATGCAGATACATGAAGCTAGACTCTGACATCCAGCTCTCTTTAGGAGTCTTGATTAGGTATACTGGCTTCCAGGCCACATGACACCGCTCTCTAGAACTGCTCAAACCTCTGGTCACCCCAATTGACTAGAACTCTGAAAAGCATAAAAAGGATTCTAAAAAAGTTGTGCAATATGTACGTAGTAATATTTAAAAAGAAAAAAAGTCATACACAAGCCAAAAGGTTTTTAAACATCTGAAGGTAGAAACTCCCTTTGAATGAGGAACTTGCAGTTCTTTGGGTTCTTAACTTCCATAGGAAGGAAATGCAAATTAACTGGTTGATGCATCCCAAATGATCACTGAGAAAAGATCTTAGAACAGTTTGGGGAGCTGCCGAAGATGGTCGACATCTAAAATGTCCTCAAGAGAACCCGCTGGACCCGTCACTTTTCTCCCCAAAGAATTTGCGTCTCTTGTGTTAAAAAGCGGTGAGTTTCGACCATTCTCTTTATCGTGGTGGCCTTTAAATTGTGTATTCTCTGACAAGAGCTTGGATCTAGGGTTAATGTCTTTAAGAAAATGTAGAGATGCCTCATCGGATGTTTGTACAGTTGGAAAAGCCTTTTTTGGCATCTCGTTTGTAATGTTTCTCAATTTATTTCCCTCCGGATGATATACAAATTCAACTGAGGCTTTGTCTGATGCTCTAGGTGTTGCTTTAGATTCAGAACTCAAATCCAGGCTCGGATTATTGTCGGACAGATCAGAGAAAACCTTGTTTCTATCAGTTTGGCCCACTGTGTAACCGGTTTCTGAAGGTGGATCCTCATCATCACTGCTGTCATTGCTCTCCATTAGGGCATAACGCTTCAGGTACTTCTTAGTGGCAAACGACATATTGTTTGGTGAAATTAGACTTAGCCCGACCATGCTCCTCTCAGAGGTCCCAGGAAAAAGATTATGGAAGGAGGAAGAGTCTAGATCTTTGTTCCGGTTGGTGTGGCTGAGGGACAGCTGGGTCAGCTGGGACTCGCTCAGATACTTCAAGGCGATGGCATTGGCTTCCATACTTAAATCAACTCCACTGGGCACAAAGCCACTCAAGCCAAGATTTGTAAAGGACATGTAGTTTAGTCTTGGGATGATGGCATCTGGGTTAATACAAGCCAAGACACTGCAGAGAGATAATTAATATGTTATTAGAACAAAAATACTTAACTGATCTAGAACAAAAAAAGAAGAAAAAGCACCTGTAATGGTAAAAAGACCACTCCATCTATTACCCCTCTGGTTAAAAGCCAGATCGTACCCTAAAGCTTCTGCGTTATTCAGAACTTTATTTTTGAGGGGGCTGTGTGGATGAGGATAGAAGTGGGGTGAGGGTGACGTGCGGCTTCAGTTTAGTATGGACCGGGGTGTCCAACTGGTATGGGTGTAAACAGAAAAGACAAACAAAGTCTGAGGCGCAACTACCATGGGGATGGACAGATGAAAAGGGGAAAAGGTGGGCTGGGGCACGTAGGGTTAATAGGTGCAGGTGAAAACAGAGGCAAGTTGAGGGGTGTATATTGCGTATTTTCAGCTGCACCTATTTTGTTTCCTCTCCCTCCTTGATACTCAATACTCCACGGAGGAGAAATATCAATATACTGCTTCTCGGGCAGCATTAACCCTGCGTGCCCCAGCCCACCTTTTCCCCTTTTCATCTGTCCATCCCCATGGTAGTCATATGACAATGGACTGCGGTCTCTTAAGCAGGCTGCCAGTAAATGGGAGTTTGCTTAGTACAGGAGCATTGCTGAAGAAATAAAAGCAACACTACCTGGGAGTGAACTGTTCCCGCTTTCTGACATTGCCCATGTTGTAAAAGCCTTGGTTGCAAATTGGCTTTAAAGAGGGGTTTCCACTCTGAGTGAGGCTGGGTGTGATCCTCTCCCAGGGCCAGACGTTTAGGTTATGTTAACATTTGAGTAAAAGGCCACTTGAACATTGAACAAAGAATCAATATGGCAATTACCATGCATTGTCAGCAGTGTCTGCACTGTTCAGCTTCACTTCAGATGGTTGAGTGCCAATTTCCACTCCCAGAGACTTCAGCTGCTTGAGTGTGGCCTTCTGTACACTGTGTTGGTCACTACGGCGGGGGTTGCGTGCCACATAATCCCTGGGCTTCTCAGAAACAGATTCGCTTGCTCTGGAACTAACCCTGGAAATATTTTCACAAGACTCCTCACTGGCAGAGGACGAGGTCTTCAGCAAATTGTTGACTTGGTTCTGGAACAAGGAAATTAAATGACGTGACATAAGCAATTTGTATTAAAGGTGCATAAGAAACAAAAAGATGAGGTTTCCAAGATCCTTTTATATTATGAAGATGTTTGGGAAGCACAAAGATTTCACTGATAGCACTAGAGCTTTGTAGGTCCCAAGTCATGGTTTAAATTACCACTAGGTTACGAAGCATAGAATATGTATCCGGTTCTCTTTATGGTGTGCAGTACATTGCAGAAAGTTTAAATAGTAAACCCCTCAGAAAGAGGGACTGATGTTAATGGCCCTAAGCCTGTGGTGCGCAACTTGCAGCCCCCTGGTACTTGCCTCAATCAGTAATGTGAGCATTGATTTGTAGGGGGGCTATAGCAGCAGCGATTTCTAGCAGTCTAATGTAACAAGCCCCGTGTCTCTAAAAGTCTCCAGCGCGTCTCCAACTAGGGATGCACAGATATTGTTTTTTCGGCATCAAGTAAGAGTACCAATATTTTTTTCCGGCACTCGCAGATACCAAATATCGATATCGGAAGTCTCATTAGGAAGCCGGGCAGTGTGTAATGGCTTGCCGCCCAGATTAGCCGTCTCCATGCGACAAGGATGTATGGAGCCGGCTTTCTGGCCAATCAGGAAGCCGGGGTGGG